TCCAGGTTCAGTTTACTCACTGTTATTCCTACCTTCTCTGAGGTCAGTGCTTACAGCACTTTCTAAGGGACAAATAGATGCCAAATCATGGATTACTCATGGAGGAGAAATAGTGGTTTGCATGGTATTATGGCATCTTGTTTGCCTTGTGATAAGAAGTAAGCTGTGCCACATTGGTGAGTCCTGAGGGCAGTAATACTGATTTTGTATAGCTTCTGTAATGATTCATTACGATATTACATGGCCTTCTGAAAGCTTCACCTTCTAGAAGTGGGTAATTTATATGAAAATTCCAGTTTTCCATTTAAAATTAAAACAAGCTTCCAGTCTTCATGGGTGTAGAGACAGACAGGAGATGTGATCTCAGTGTATCACTCAAGACCAAAATCAGAAAATATCCCCTTTCCCTGCTCTGGTACTGACTAAGCATTTAAACCCCTTTTACCTTCTCCTCCCCTAAAAATGCTGGACCCTGCTCCAGAAGTTTTGAATGGCTGAAGTTGGAAATATTAGGGAAGACATTTTAGGTGCTTATGTATTTTTTGAAATTCTGTTTCCACTCTTAGTTTACCCTTTTTTACAATATTCCCACTTTTTTTTCTTTTCTCAAATCAAAGTCCTTGCCAACATTTCTTCCAGTGTGAGTTTCTTAGTCAGTTTGGCTATGTTCTTGGTCCTCAGGTTGGAGCCCTTCAACACGCCTGTTCTGGACATCCAGTCTGCCTTCTTTCTCAAAGTCGTAGTCCTTTGTTTTTGAGTCTGATAGACTGGCTCTTGTATAGCTAAGATTGTTTTCTCTGTGATGTTTTTAGCCTGATTTTTTTTTTGGCAAAAGAACATTTATTTGATTTCTCATGAAAGAGTATAAAATAAATATCTTTATGTAGTTGACAAAGGAGAATTATTTTGATTTTTTGACAACTAATGTAGAAACTTGTCTTCTTTATCTGATTTCTTTAATTTCTTCTCAGTTTTGGTTTAATTTGTAGAAATGTTTATGGGCAGTCAAAAGTGAAAATACGTGAGCAAGAGACAATAGTATGTAAAAACATAATGGGCTGTAAGTGATGAGGGAAATGGTGTATTCTGTGGATGTTAATTTTGGCTGTGTGAAATCCTTTATTTGGTTGGAGATAGTGCTTAATGTTTATATTGGATAAGCTGTGAAAGCTGATGACATTTAGTGCACATGGGCTTTTTGCAGAGGGTGACTTTCACCCAAGCATTTTACCATAGTAGGATTGCTGATGATCTTGTGCTAATATGTAAAATACTACACTCTAGTATGGAAAGCAGTCTGGTAGACAAGACAGTGGGCATGAGTCAGAAGCTCCCATGTTTTACACTGGAGAAAAGTGACTGTGGGTATCACAGACTTCATCATGACAGAGCAGAGTCTTGTGAAGTTGTTAGTGATCTAAAGATGAAGGGTCAGGTCCTTTCATATTAGGGGAACTGGCAGCTCTCTAGTGTGGATCTGCACCTGGGACAGGCGTGGGTTGCCACTGAGAAGCATGATGATTGTAGGGGGTACAGAGTTGGTTTAGCAGGTATAACACCTTATCTTTTCTACAGCTAATACTGAGTGAGTGCTGGAAGGGAGAAAGAAGTGCATAGGTCCTTCCATGCCTGTTAGTCCTGGCTGTCATGGTGTCCTGTTCAGAAGCCTCAGTGGAACAAAATAGACATGGGAACTGAGGATTACAGTGGTTGTTGAAAGCTTCCTCATATCTTTGTTGCCCTGAATCATTTGCTGTTGGGTTCATGGAGCAGACCTGGAGCATTTTCATACGTGCTTACTGTTGGTCTTATTTATTTTCTAGGTTTTTTTCCTTACCTTGTTTTCCAGCTTGCACCTGTTTTAAACATAACCCTGAGGTTAAGTAAGTGCCAGAGATACTAGTGAGAACTTACAGTGCTAAATAGTACATTTTCAATGGTGTTTATTGTTGCAGTGACAAGGTAGCTTGTACGTTTCTAAACTGCTGAGAAGAAATTGTAAAAAGAAGATAACGGTCTATAGTAACTAAAACCATGGCTTTATTTTCATGCTAGTTATGGGGAAATACTTCCCCCTCCTCCCCAGTAAATGCTTCTCAGGTAATTTATTGCAGATTCTGGCATCATATAGTCTCTCCCAACATTCTGTTTTCTGTAACAAGTTTTATATCAGAAGTGAAAATAATTTTGTAGTCCTTTCATTTTTGAAAAAATTGGCCCTAAAATATGTACCACTTCGTGGCTACCAAATACTGTCCCTTGACACAAATGCCGTGCAGAAACATGTCACCACTCTCAAAAGGTTAATTGATATTTCAGGATGTTGAATGTCTTCTAAATAAACATGACCATGGCCAAATACATGTTACATTTTTCTTTCAAGAAAATAAATAGCCAGACCATTTTGAAGCCTTAGGCAGTGTACTATTTGTTAATCAAAACTTGTTCTCATACAACTGTATTTAAAACAGAAAAGACACATGAATCATATAGGAAAACAAAGTAATTTTAAGGTAAAGCAATATAAAAAAAGAGTTATGGCTGCTGTTCAGCTATAAACTCAGGCCACTGTGCTGCCACATATATTGTATTTGTTCTGAGCCCTCTACAATATTCCTGGATAGATGTGTATTAGAAGTGAAATAGAAGACATAAATTTGAATTTCTTTACTTTTGATGGTTTGTTTTTCATGCTACATACAGTACACTGTTTAACAGCTTTAGAAAAGTCTTAAAAGTCAGGCTTCCTAGGATATTGTTCTTGTCTCTAGTGGCATTGTTTTATAATCCTGTATAAGCCGCTAGTCTAAGGCTTGGTTTCCATACTACTAAAACTGTTTAAGTAACTGAAAGTCCTTTCTAAATAGAGGAGTATGGGGCTTAAACCTTAGTGACTGCAGTGTGAAGAGCCATTGCATTCCAGAGCTTGCACACTGTCTCTGACCTTAGTGGTTAGGTGTTTCATCAAAATAGGTGGTACTGTTCCCTGTTGTCTGCTTCAGGCTGCTCCCACCACTAACCTCTAAGTCAGCATTTGGGTCCTTCTCTGTTGACCATTATTAATTTTGATAGGGTTCTTTAACTGAACTGAACTTCTTTCTTGATCTAAAACCTAGAATAAGGCAAGACGCTAAGACCTTTGTGCTCCTGAGAGAACCAGAGGTAATTTCTTTACTTAATTTTATTGAAGTTTGTGGAGAGAAAAATGTTTTCCAGCTGTGTCATTCTGGTATAATTTGCTGGCCAGCACAGGGGCCTAGCAGACTTGTCCATTAGTGTGATTCACATCAGCACGTCCACAGAATCCACTTTGGATTGTGGTGTACTTCTGGGTTGGATGGGCAATGCCCTATTATTTTCATCAACCAAGATGTAATCAGGTTAGAGGAAATCAATACAGAGAATTATGATTAAAAATTAATGTGCTTTTAGAATTTATAAAACTTGTCTTTTAAAGCATCTTTAGTTCATAGGCTGTGGGCATACTGAAACTAAAGGTATGCCTACCACAAAATAAGCTAGACCAGATTTACAGCATTTCAGCTGTGTCTGTTTGTGTTGTATGCATGCTTTTATTGATTTGATTAATATGTAAACTTCCTTATTTTCACCTCAGAATGAAGCCTGAATAGGGGCTTTTATTGCAGAGTGGCTGACAGGCTGCAGGCTGACCTGCTGAAGTTCTTCCTCCTGTCTTGTTCCTATAGCTGTATACAAAGTCAGTCTGACACTGACTGTGTCCTTCTGTTAGCTTTGTTTGGCCTTGGCTAAACTCCCTAACCATCGTGCACTGGCACTGGTGGTTAATAGGTCATGATATGTAATTTTCATTTTGGTATGCTTAGTCCTATGGCTTTCAGTGTTTGTTACATAATTGGTATAATATTGATGCAATATACAAAGAAATGCAGTAGAACATACACTAACGTGTAAATGTAAATGGTATAGCTGCAATAAATTTTGAAAGTTCTGTCTTTGAGCTGTGCCCATGGAAGATGTTTCTGCCACTCACTTTCTCTCCTATCTTTCATCTAGAGATTACTGTCGCTGTAGGAGGCAGGGTATGTATTGGCTTCTTTGCTGTTCACAGTACAGCGCCTGTGGGATGACTTTGTGCTATTGATGATTTTAGCTGAATTGTTGGACTGGTAAGAGATTAACTGAGATGTGGCACGCTTTCACTTTTACCAAGTCAGCCACAATATTTACTAACAGAGGGGAGACACTAGATTAAAAAGAACTTGTATGTAAATTAACTTGCCAGATGGTAAGACTTTATAATTTGACTTTTCTTTATTCAAGAAAGTGAGGTAGGTTATTTCATGAAAGACTTGTAGTTCTGTTCTTGCATACTTCATTTGTGCGTGAGGTGTAGCTTGTTAATGTTTGAATATCATTTTAGATTAATGATTAAAAAGCAATTTGAAATTTTTTTGTGTGTAACTTTCTATTAAAAATTCTGTTGCTCACATGCTTAGCTGGTTTTTGGCTTTTCAGTAATAACAATTTATAAAGCAGCACAGAATTGTATTTGTCATTAACATCTGTATACGGTAGAATACCCATGAATAGATCTGTTGATTAAGAAATTACCATTTTTAGCTGGTTTACCATTTATACGTAATTTTTTTCTTAAAAGAAAAATAAATACAAAATAAAATTGAATCCACAGCTTTGCTGATAAACTTGCACAAGGAGGGGGAAACTTTCTTATTTTGGACCCTTGGTTGTATTTTATGGATTGGTTCCAGCAGACCTGAGGCATATGAAGTAGCTTTATTTTGGGTGGTCACAGGCAGTTTGAACTGATAAATTTGGCAAGAGGGAGAAGCAAATCTGTCTTGGAGTCCAGGAGAATTTGCAGAATGTGTATTGTATAAAAATGCTTAACATTTATAGAGCCTGACATCGTGATCACTGACACAGACTGTTCACAGTATTGAAAGTTGACCTGAGTGCTTCTGTACCATCTGATTGTAATCTAAATTTGTGTTTTATAGCTCGAAACAATTGGATGGCAGCTTAATCTTCAAATGGCAGAGTCCATGCAAGCGAAGCTGAAGTCTCCTCAAGCTGTGCTAGAGCTGGGAGTGAGCGACGAAGATTCAAAGGTAAGAAATACATGCCTGGCAGAGTTGGAATGTGTTGTGGTGATGGCCTTGTGTTCAAAGTTCTGAGGCATCCATTGGAACTCTTGATCATTGTTAGTCTTGCCAGTGTTTTCATAAAATTATATTTCATAAAACTATAGTAAGCATTTGGAATTGTAATAGCATACATGTTAGGTGAACTGAGAGCTGAGCGCTGTGTTACCAGCTCTTTGGGCTGTAACGTAATAGAGGAATATAATGGAATATGGTTAGTTTAGGTCTCTCAAATATCTTTGTAGATAATTTATTTTTATCATATAGCACGTGATTGGTACTTCTATACTTTTAATGCCTAGTAGCCTGCAGCCCTCTACCATGTGTGTAGTTATGTAAGATACTACTCATCACTTGCAACCTTTTAGTGCTAATGATGTATTTATATGAACGATGACATAGTATGTGAAGCCACAGAAACCCAATATTTAGAATTTTTAAGATAAAGTCTTAAGTTCAGGGATTTTAGTGACTGGTGGTGTTTCAGTGCCAAAACCCACTGATGAATGTAATTTTTTATTAATAAAATCTGTATCTTTTGTTAGCTAGCATGTTTTAAATTAAATACATGATTTGCTTTTAACCTTGTCTTGCTAACGGAAATTAGAGTCTTTACTGCTGTGGTGTCTGTCAGTGTTTATCTATGAAAAAGTCAGTATAAAAGATTTGAGGGGAAAAATCGGAACTCAGTTCTGCTTTAGCATTGCATTTAAATCACAGTAATTTTACTAATGTGAGTGGAATTTCTGATTTATGGTAGAATAAAAGAGAATATACAGCTTACGTTTGTAAGGTCCTCACCAGGACTTGCAGCAGTTGTATTTTTTTCAGCAGTTCACTGCAATCTGTATTTTTGAAATGCAAATACAGGAACCAGACAATATGTCCAAGTTGCACTGGGCAGCACTACATACAGATTCAATTCTGTGGCAAAACAATTTTTAAAAAAATGAGGAAAAAATGTCACTTTCACATGACACACAAAGTTTGTCTGTTTCCTTTACAAACAAAATTCAGCAAGTGGATTTTTTTTATATTCCTCTCTATTTCTTTTTGTGGGTATAATTACCCACAAGATCAGAATTATTTTGCAATAATTACAAGCCTAGCATAGACTTGTAACTGGCATTTAGATAGAACAGTGCAACAAGAAAAACATACTGATGCTCTCACACTACAGACACTAGAAATCTGTGTTGGTGTGAAAATAACTACAGGTTTTTTTTTTTCTGAGAGATTCCTTCCTAGTATAGAATAAGTTTAAGACTGGCTAATATCTGCTTATATACTGACAAAAACGTTGGAACATGATTTTTGTGCAGTGTTTTGCATCTTCATGATCTCTTTCTGCACGAAGTTACCTGAAAATCCTAGATACTAGATGCTTATTCCCGTGCCCCCCCCCCCCCCCCAATTTATGTGTGTGTGTCTTTTGCACAGAAATTTGGTATGAATATAGCATATATGTTCTTAATTATTGTCTTCATTTCTCACAAAACTTTTTTCTTAATAATTCATGGCTACAATTTGCATTTTTTCAGGAAAGGCACAAAACGCTGTTGCAGAGGAGCTTTTGTGGGCTGTCTCATTAGGGGGCAGTAGTGCTCTTTGTCACACTGGCACTGAATGCTTTTTTGAGATCCTGCTCGGAATCAATTTTGATGATGTGGGGAGTGTTAAATGTTTACACTGCGAATCTGTATATAACAATAGAAGTTTGTCTTGCTCATCTGCAAAACTAAAGCCTATTAATTAAAAAAAAACCCCATACTGAGCAAGGTAAATGAAATTGGCTGTTATTTCTGTTTTGCTAACTAAAAATAATTGTACTAGTACATTAATGTTTACTACAACTCACTCCATTTAAACAGTTCTTTGTCAGAAGCAGACATTGAAAATTAGTATTTAAATTATCTCTCCAGGAGAGGTGATCAGAAAACTGTGGATATATAAATGTTATTGGTGTTTTGTGAAATAAAAAGTCAGAGAATCTGCTATATGCTATATAAATATTTATAGAGTATATTCTGTCAGCTTCAGATGAAATGCAGAGTCCCATAGGTATTATACCATGAAAATTCAAAAGTAAGGTGGCCTTTGATTCTTTCTGGTGGTTCAAGCTGCTAATGACATTTGCATTGCCCAGTAAATAATGCTGCTTATGACTAGGAGTAGTTGTGATCAGATGACATGATTTTTGGTAAACTGGTTTTTCCTGGGTTTTGTTACAAATTTGCCGTTTGCTTATACTCAGACTTTGAATTATGCTTGATTTCAATCTAAAAAAATATTTTGCATATGCCATGAAAAGTTTTTCACCATGGAGGTGATTAATTACAGGAATGAGTTACCCGGAGAGGTTGCAGAGTTGCCAGCCTTGACAGGAGCCAACGGGACAAGTCCCTGAGTATCCTAACTAAGCATGGAGTTAGCCCTGCTGTGAGCAGGGTGGGGATCAGGTGGGCTGCCAAACCATGCCTTCCAGCCCAAGTTGTCCTGTGATCTAGGCTGCTTTGCAGGTTGGTTGCTGCTTGTGTTTTGTATGAGGAGGAGAAAAAAGGAGCTTTCAATTAAAAATCCAGTTAACAGTGGCTTCTTACAATGATTCAGAATTTGAAATGTTTAATTGCATTTTTAAATCTGAGGGAAGTGGAACTTCTATCAACTAGGCACACAAAACAAGCTGGTATGATAGAAAACATCTTTTTGAACTGCAAGATCCTTTTGCTTCCATTCTGACATTTTAACGAGCTAAGGTGACATTTAGAACTGATGTGTAACATACCAGCTGTGTATAACGGTTTTCTTTAATAATATAATTTGGTTTCAGATTTTTTGGGCTGTTGAGTTGCAACACAGCAATCTGGGGATTTTTTAGACTTATTTTTGTGGCTATAGGGTGAATTAACCAGTAGAGGGAGCACAAATTAACAATCCTGATAATTTGTGCTGCTAATTATGATTTTGATTTGCAAAGAAAGATGGATCCAAAAAGGTGCTGTGTTTATTTAGTATCTGTTTCCTTCAGTAATTTATTTGATACTTTTCCACACAGGCACACACTTGCACATTCTTTCTCACTGTTAATAGCAGTAATTCCTTAGGCCACCTAGTCCATACCTTTCTAAACAACTGTGATCATATTCTATAACCATAGGAGCCATATAAAAAAAACATAGATTGTGGTAATGGCCGTAGAAAAGGTCTGAGGGCTTCAGAAATTTCACATCATTGATGCTGAATATTCTTCTGCAGAGGAATATGAGAAGTAAAAGTGTGTTCTTAAAGAGTTTCTGCTATGCCTCTTCACTAGGAAGATCCAGTAAAGTGCATTACTATATAAGGTATTTATTATTATGTATTTTTACACATGATCTGTAGTTAACATTTACGCTTGAAAATTGTTAGGATAAATAAACTGTTCTTGCGCAGTGTTGTCTCTCGATAGTTACGATTTTTTTCTGTAAATTCATTCCACAGTTTTCATTAGATTCAGTTATCTAATTACAATTTGTCCTATGGAAGAGTTTGCTCTTTTCTTGTTTTTCCTTCTCTTTATTTCATTTACGATTTCATTCTTAACCGTTAAGGACTTCTTGGGGGAACTCTTTTATTTTCATTGTGAATGCTGTGTATAGATTCTTTATGAGAATTCAATACTTTGTTTATTTTGTTCCTTCTTTATACATGTATTTGAAGAATTTTGTTACAGGATTTTGTCTGCCAATGCAAGACAAAGAATAACTGATAAATGTGCTGGTTTGTTAAGCCTGCTAATGTAATGCTTTTGACAAAAGACAGATAATATTAAAATGTTACTCTACTAATTTAATTTTATTTCCTTTTAATTCATATGCCCTAATTTCTAGATGCTTTAAAAGTGGAATATAACAATGGAAATATATTAAACTATTTTTTTCTGCAACCGTTTGTTCAAAATCAAAATGGGGTCTGACTGCATTTGAAGCTGAGATTGTAATACATATTCATCATTCTACAGAGTAAATAGAAGCCTGGAAATCTTAAATGATTATTTTTTACTTGTTAAAATAGCAGGACATGGCTTTCTTTTTTTTAATCCTGGTTTTTACAGACTTTCTATACATTTCTGGACTGCGAACAAATCTAGACCTTAGGTATTTTGCTCTGTTCAGTAAGTATGCCATTCTGCTTTCTGAGTTTGCCATTATGAATACTTTCCACAGCTTTAACAGCAAAGCAGAGTAGAAGAGAAACAAAGCTTTTCTACTAGCTGGGGCTAGATCAATCACTCAATTCAGGCTGTAGATTCTGTGCAGCCTGTATGGCATGCAGGACATGCACTTGCATGGATATTTAAGGAAATATGGTTGTGCTTTCCCTTCCCTCTCAGTTTAGCCCTTTGTTTCCTTCTGAAATGAAGTTCTGTTTGTGGAGTGGCATAACAGTGAGAACTAGTGGATGATAGTGATGTGTTCCCACTCCAGAGAGGTAGGAGGTGGCAGGGTTGAGCATCCATACAGTGATGTACCCGCTGCATTTGCCTCGTCAGTCCTCAGCTTTTGGGGTGATGCATTTAGGTGCCAGTTTTTTCAAAATAGAGGAGTAGTTTGCATCTATAGGGCCTCAAAGAAAGAGGACAATTAAAAGACATGATGCTGGAGGAACTGTGATGAGGTGCAGAGACTAAACAATTGTAAATTGCTTCTTGAATTCATCAGCTACTTCTCTGTCACTTTCTGTTCTGATAAGGATATCACCCATTTCCTTCTCAGAACACAAACAAGCTGCATGTACGCTCTTGAACTGAGTTTATTCTTCTTGTCAAGCAGATTTGTAAGTCTCTAGCAATTGCAAAAAGTAAGTGGCCTTGGGTGAATGCAAAAATGTTTAAGGATGAGATTGAGAGAAAAGGTTTTTTCATTCCTATTTGGAGGAGGTAATTGGAGGCCTGGGTAGTCTCAGAAGCACAGTCCTGGTTTGAGGTC